AACGACTACGATTCTCAATCACAGAATATTCTACTTTGCTATCTAATCGTCTTATCGTATCAACAGATGTTTCGCCAAGCAAAAGAAGACCACTGGTTCAAGGAAAATTTATCTAAAGTTTTCTTAAAATTCATGGACATCCGGTAACTGTACCTATCGAGAAATTACAAACATTACAAACATCCGAGAAGTAATTGGGCAAAGTTAAACTTTCGACACCAATAACTACCAATCAGAAAGCTACCTTGAACTGACCAATCACATTAAAGAGCCGTTTATGATAAGTGGAAGCGTATATTTGTACAAAAATGCATAGAAAAAAGTATAAAACGGTTACAATGGGTATCTTTCTCTAACATGAGACAAAAACATTTCCCAGTTCAACATTGGACTGTCAATAGAAAAATCGCACCACATTCTATACATGTATTCGTCCAAATGACTGAAAATAATATCCTTTTGTGATCTATTTATAGCGCGGATCCTGTTTTTCAGTCTCCCCCAAAAACCTTCAATGGAATTTGTATGAGTCCCAGTGAAAGGATCGACGAAATCATTGGAGTGGTTGACTCTATGGTGAACGTAACCCAGAGATGACAGGGAATCATAGCCTTTCCACTCGTCGGTGTGCACAATTGATCCCCTTTTGACAAGTCGAGTTATAATAGGGATCAAAGTGGTCGCCTTCCTGTCTGCAATCCTTTCAACAAACCCTTTTCGAAGGGACGTGTCATATAAACCGATAACCCAAATATTGTTTTCCATGAGGCTATGTCCCTGCAGTGCTGGTACCATTGAACTGTTAAGACGAGGCTGTTCTCCGTCTCCGCAGCTGCCGCTCTCACTGGCTGCTTCAGTACCCAATAATTGCAGATATACAAAATTTGGGTTAGAGAGAGATGTGATCTAGCAAAAAAGGTCCCTACGAAATATTAAAATTACCAGCTTACCCTCTCTAATACTAACTCTTTTCCAACATATTCCACAACGATGGACAAATCCATCAGTTGACCTCGAATAGCTTTTTAGAGTCATAACACCACCACAGGAACACTTTCTCTCCTTTCTTAGCAATCCTAAGTCTAGGCAATACTGCACTACACTATCCTACTCGAACTGCAAACGTAACCTTGTAAGGGCACGCATTAAAATGAATCGAGCGCTATACAACATTGAACTGCGTTCGTGAATCTGATTGGATAATTCGACGTCATCGCTGATTGGTAGTTATTGGTGTCTAAAGTTTAACTTGGCCAGAGCTTGATTATTTGAACTGAAACCAACATTTTGTGTTGAGCCCATATTTCCACCTTGAAAAATGACCACCTTCTCAGCTCGTCATAACTACGAAAAAAATCACCGATTGTAGACCACAATCCGAGTCGTTATGCTTGCTAATTAAAGTCTTACCTTTATTTAGGACAATTCGGACACTCACCAGATTATTGTACACTATCCGCTTTTTAAATCTTTTTGCAACATATTGAAAGGCTGATAGCCTGGGCTTTACTAGAGACAATTGTAGTTCATGTTTTTGGGTCTAGTACATTAGGCATTAACAACCGCAGGTAGCCTACCCTTTAATACGCTGACTTTAACGCCTGTGTCAACTAAGTATCGGGTCTCGCTGACTACATCACGAATGTAATGTAGGCGGCTAGTGAAACCGGCGACGATTGCCGCCAACGCATGCCGGCAGTTTCATGTTTTCGGAGAGTTTATACCTTTAGAGGCTGACTGTATTGTCGTGCACGGATAGTACGAAGTATACTAACGCAAGATCTTATATCAGCAACTTCTATGGTACTCGTTCCTCGTAGACCAAACGCAAAGCAAAAGACACGATTGATCGTCCGAAACACGAGATATATTTCCGGACCAGATCGTAGATCGAGATGAATGCTTAGCTGGCTAATGATCATGCATGAACGTGACACGATGGAGTACCAAACGGCTTAGATGCTTTACCGGAAGCCTTCAGGTAAACAAGTCGACTTAAACAGTGAGTGTCAGCATCCAATGTTGAGTGATGATTGCTGCGGTCAATAATTTTGGGAAATTATTTACCGCTACAACCGCAACAACATCTGCCACCCAAACATGTTCATGTGCATATTTTCCATAACTTCTACACAGTACTATCTTATAAACAGGTGAAAAACAACTGAAACACTGCAACCACGCATGAAAGCAACGTATGAAACTATTACATGAAGTGAATGCATTGACCTGGTGGTAAAAACTTTCGAAATAAACAAAATAACTAATTTTAACAACGACGGAAACAAAAATGAGGTGAAACGCAACATTTGTGAACATTGTGCATCAAAATAAGTTGGTAATAACTGCAGAATAAACGTAAAAACCTATGTGTAAACGAATTGTTAAGGAACTGCAATCCAACATGCGAACATGGAGGAAATTGACCTTCGGGCGTCTGGCCCCTTCAATGACCTTGAGCGTGTGGGATAAGTTCAGTCGTGGTGTTTTTTGAGCTGCTATAATTTAGAGTTACCCATTTTTGAACTTGCGGAGGTCATATGAGATAAAAAAAGCTCCAGTAGTTCCGTTGATGGATACGTTTACTGTTTCAAAGTCCGTTTGAGGCGAATTAGCGTGAGAGAAGGTAACCTAGCTGATGTGAATATTATTTTGTAGGAACAGCTTTTGCTAGGCCACACCTTGTATTAATTTAGATTTTATATATATAAATAATACAATTTATATATATAACATGCTGTAAGAGCTACAGCTGCTGAAAGCATGAGCAATCTCATCTTAACCGTTCAATGGTACCAGCAGTGTACAGACTTCCAATCCCAGGAAGTGGAAAGACTGATTTCTTTATCGAGAGAAGAGTGTGTTGTTGTGCATACAGACGAAACAGGCCTGTTACAGAGGAAACAGCTGAGGTCGCAAAAAAGCAAATCACGTTTGGGTGCATGGATTGTACGAAGGATTGGGAGGTTGTAGCCACCAAGCATCTATGTCATTCGCCACACCGTCGTGTTACCTTCGTGCACGACCCCTCGCTGGCATCGCATCACGAATTTGGTCCCCAAATATATTTCATATTTTGGACGGTCAATTGGGTGTTATGATTCGCCTTTGGTCTACACAGAACAAATACTGTAGGAGTTGTAAGTATAAGAACTTGCGTCGGCATACACCGTACTTTCCGTAAACTTTAACATCGCCATCTAGAGATTCTTCGAAAGAATACTAGACAGGAGATCTACTACTTTAATACCCATTATTGCTAGATTGGTGGGACCAGCATCTATATATAATACACATTGACGAATAGAAAGGATATAGCTCATTGTCATCTCTTGAATATATCCGCCGTAGAGTCAACCTTCCTAACGATCTTGCGGATCCCACTACAGTCACCCACACGAATCCCATTGAAGGGTTTTGTGGAAGATAGAAGTATAGGATTAGAGCTCCTAATGGGTCTCTACATGACGTCATCTGAATAGATTCATGTATAGAATGTGGTTTAAGTTTTCCGTTGACGATCATATGAGGGAACATCTCGATAGGTCCAATATGCTCCATGAAGCCCAACACGCTTTCAGGAAAGGCAGATCCTGCATCACTAACTTACTATCAGCTTGAGACCATTGGACATCACGCTGGGATATGAGTGTTTCAGTCGATGTGGTCTTCCTAGACTTTGAGAAGGCGTTTGACCATGAGAGGCTGCAGGAAGATCTAAATCTTCTAGAAGACTGGGCGGTGGCCAGTGGCATGACTTTCAACCTGAAAAAGTGCAAGGTAGTGAAGTTACGCACCTGTAGACCGCAGAATGGAAGTTACATACTGTGCAATGAAAGCTTGTCCTGCACAGCGTCGAAACGTGACTTATGTTTGGTTCTAAAGGAGAAAATGGACACAAGCGTAAATTACACAGGGGATGTAGCGAGGACATTTGCGGTCGCACAGTTTGCACATTGATAATTGGGTGCACTCACTCATGAGTTCCTTCTAAGGTTGTATAAAACATACGTCAGACCACACCTTGAAGTGCATGATATTATTGCACACCCACTGCTTAGAAGAGACGCCAACCTCTTGGAAAGAGTTCAACGACGGGCAACATAAGGAGTGGTTGGTCCCCAAAATAAACCATATGATGAAAGGCTGAAGAAATTAGGCCTATTCACACTTAGCTACCGTCGTCTTAGGGGGCATTTAATTACTGCCTACAAAATAACAAATGACCAGAATCACCCAAACAAAGGTGTTCTGCCATTGAGTAGGTATAGGCTCCCTCGTGGAAATCCTAGATAGATAGCTCATCAGAGGGCAAGGACCCGGGTGCGCTCCCACTTCTTTTCCCCGTGGGTTTGCCGTCCCTGGAATTCCTCATGTGAACGCCTTTAAGCGAAGGCTGGACAACCATGCAGCGACACAAGGACTGCATCCAAATGGCCTATCCCCTTAAAATCGCATACACCATTGAAGGGTAGACAATTAAACTTGTCGTTTTACTTCTTTACATTCTCTCCAGTCTTACTCTCCTGACAGCTTTAACTACACCTATTATTATTATCATTATTATCGGTATATATATTATTCATATTATCCTAAAAATTTAATCAGCTGTCTGTTTTACCTTTTCTTTATTTCTTTTTCTGTCTCTTAGTCTGAATAACTTCATTAATTATATCTATTATTATTTATTATTATTATCTATTTTCTTTTGATGACGATACTAGAAGACTAACTGATGAAAGGATCAACTCCATTCACAGTAGTAAGTTTAACACACCTCATACTACAAACCACATATAATTAATCCCTGCACTACTCCTTTTGGAGTCAACCAAAGCTACGACAGTTGAGTGGCGGGACGAGCTACGCAGAAGTTTACCGAAGATCAGGAACCTATACCTCACAATCAAGAGGCGAGCACAAAGAAATCAAATTGGTTTATACTAGCTCGTAAAAACGGTATTGGACATTGGACGCGCCAAAGCAAAAATGTGAGGTATTTCTATCGCATGTGGGAGATGAAGGTATCCTCAGTGGCAACTTCATACTTTTTTACTCATTATTTTCACAAGTAACTGTATTTTATATGTAAGATTAGAATTTCCATGTGATTACTGTATTCAATTTCACTTACTCTGCTGTGTTTTGGTTCCTATTGCCATATTTTAGGAATACATTGTTCAGCATGGATATCGGTAGCCAATTTTGCAGCACATACACAGGTTGTGTACATTCCCATCCTTAAGGAGGCAATTGCCTCCTATTATATAATCTTTAATTATGATTGGCTAAAACTGGAAATCGTGTTCGTAGGAATACCAGTAACTTGGAAAATAGCACGATGTCTTCTAATAACGCATTACCACTCTGCATAGAATAAACTTCTGCTTTTGGGTTTATCCGTATGCTATACTGGCTCTGAAACTTGTGCTAACTGGTAAATACCAAATGAGCCTTCTGCGTCCGCAATGAGACATCAATACCCCTCGTTACCCTCCGAAGTAGGTGTTGTAGTGGTGAACACACTCAACCATTTCACCTGATTAAGAATAATTCACAAAGCATACGGTTAGCTGTGAGTATGCAAGTTGGCGATCTAAGCAACATATTTCGAAACTGGTAAGGAAATATGTCGACTGCTTTTTCGTTTTGCGGTATATATATGTATACATATAAAACTACGTAGTAAGTGTTTAAAATAACGACTTGTGATGACACTTCTTGTGTATAGTAATTCTCGGCTTGTGCACCTTCTCAAATTCCTACTTTATATTTAATCTCTTATTCTCTGTTGTATCTATTGTTTGTGATCTTTTTTATGTGAAAACTGAATGATCTAATAGTTGTCTGTAGAAAAGATATTCTAACCAATCTATCTTATCTCACAAAATTTCAGTTTCTTAGAACTTCAAAGATAAACTAATAGTAACCAGTACTCCCACTGCTGCTGCTGTACAAATCTGTACCGTTTACTAATTTTTAATATGTGGAAATATGCCATACGATTCGCTAGGCTTTATCGCAATCGAGTTTACAAGTGAGTAAGGTTTTTACTTTACATTTGTACGTCATAACACTGAGTTGTATTTAAGTGTGTTGAATAGTTAAAATTCCTTAATCAGAAATATGTTCTGGATTTCAGGTTTACATCTTCATTGGAAAGCTAAATAGGCTTATCATGCCATAAGAAAGTAGTAGTTTGTATGCTGATTAAAACAAATGAGGAGATTTGTGAAATTAATCTGCATTTTGCATGGACTTCGTGGACGATACCAAACAGCAGTATAATTAAGCGTTTCTGTTTTTTTTTCAAAATCAATCCCTTATTACGCTTGATTACTCTAATAATACATCTATGTATAGTTTGTATGAGGAAACGTAGTTAATCACTGAGACATTGAGTTATCAATGAAATCGGTTGTGCTAACCTAATGAATTGACCGAAGATTCACACCAAAACACCACTTGAAGCTAAACATGATATTCGGTGATGAGAAATAGCGGACAACTATACTTTTCTCACTGAAATACGTAAGTAATATACAAATAAATTACGTATTTATTCCCACTACATACACACGTATAAAGATAGTATGATTAGAGTATAATTGAAGTTATATTTCTGATCAATAAACCACTCGTTTTCACTCCTATACTTTTCGAGTGCAGCATAGGGCTTGAAGCTTTAACCTTTCAAGCCCCAGTAGCACTTGTGTTGTTTTCACCTGATGAGGTTAACTGACTGCTTTCAACATAGAACTGTACAGAAGTGCAGTAGTTCTACTTGCCACACTTCATTTACTACACAAAGTAAGACAAAAGAGGGGTAAAAGAGATTCAAGAGAACGATGATGAGTAGAAATGAGAGGGTGGATGAATAGCAACATGCAAGAACATCAAGGTTTAATGCATATAGAAGGTCTTAAAGAGTGAATACCTCTGCTCCTTTGAGAACCAATTGTCTCTAGCCATCTTGGAATTATGAGCAATAAATTGTGCTCAAGACGTCATCAGTAAACATTACTGTATAACACTGTGAGACTTTATAAAAACAAATTTTACCCATTATGGAAGACCACACCTCCCTACATGGCTTGAACTACCTGCTATTGGATTTTATTGACTGATTCCATGTTACGTTTTGACCGCCATCGGGTCTTTTTCAAACTCATTCTATGTCAGCTAACATTGCCCGTCAAAGAAGGCGATGGCTAGTCATGCGTGGTACATGTTCTAACCATCTGAATCGATGTAACTTCACAACCTTGTTGACTGACTTTTCTTTCCCACCTAACACTCGATGCATAACCTCAATATTACTTACCCTATTATGCCACCTAACATAAGAGACAGAACTCAGACACCTATGATCAAAGATAGCTAGCCAGCCTTTTCATATCTTCCACTTTCAATGACCATGTCTTACACTCATAAAGGAGGGTGGGAAGAACTGGCGCGCAGTACAAACGTCAATTGATCTATAGCCAGCCGGATATCATGTCTGTGCCAGAGATGAAATAAGTTTGTAAATCCCACAAAAGCTTGTTGGAGCATTCCAAATAAATGAGGTGGTCAATACGCTCTGCCACTTCACCCCCTGATTTAAGACTAGCAGTCGGTGTATTGCAGTCCTGTAGGATAATCTTACATTTGACAGGGGCTAATCGCATTCGAAACGTTCTGAGATTTCTGCCTAAGGTGTGCTCAAGAAAGGTTGTTAGCATTATGCTAAACCTTACCTCTTTTCCGGGCTTACAATCGAACAGATGAGGTTAAGGAGCATGCCTGTGGTTCAGTAGTAGAATAAGCAGCATAATGAATATAAATAATTCAACCTTTAAATTGGTTTTATTCGTAAGGTCTAGATTTTCTATAAAAACCTTGAAATATATACTCTGAAAAGTTTTTTATATACATATATATGTTGCGAAAAACTGTTGACTTTTTATATTTCAGCTTACTATACACTCGATGTAACACTCAAATCCTTCCAACATTCTCTAAAACATTGTCATTCTCTATCCCCTTCGCTTGGTGGCCATTTGAATTTTTGAAACAGAAGGATATCCACGAAGAAATTCAACAATCCTTCACCAACTGTTTATATCTCATAGCAGTCGGTGAATTTAAAGAAGCCGACAGTAAATTACATGAATTATTGTATCATGTAAATGTATCCCATGAAAACCAAATGCTTACTGACCTTGAATACACTAATAAACGTGCACGGATTTGCTCTGAAATGGCCAATTTAAGCCTTCTTATGGGAAATCATTCAGCTGCAGAAAAACTTATTCGACAGACAATGCAAGATTGTTTAACTGGCGAAATATCAACGAAAGATGCAATGTTTGTTGAATTATCACTTAAAATGGCACTACTATTTGAAAAATCTGGTAGAATAGATGATGCTGAAACTGGTTTTCGATATTGTATACAAACACAAGAAGAGAAATTAGCTAATTCAGATGAAAGTGTCGACAGTACAAATGAAAAGGCTTTACTGGGAATGTGTTGTAATTATTTCGCCAAGTGAGTTTTACTAAAACCGATTTTCTTAGTGCTCTCCTGTCATAGCGAATTTAAAATGGTTGTAAAGTTCAAATTCTCAATCTGCAAATTAATTCGTGATTTTTAAAAATCAATTCTCAATTTACACAGTTCGACTAAGTAGGCTAACTAGTCGGAAATCGGGTAGTCTGAGGTGATTTGATCCTCTGAGTTAAGTTAAACCGGTTGCATCTCTGATAAGCTCGGTCCCAAACTGGTGAAACCACCGTTCAGTATCCAGATAACTTCGATTTAACTAGCAAACACTGCTGGCATGCAACTACTCATCTCAATTAATCAGTAGTGTGTGGTTGTAAAGTTCATTGATTAGTTAGTTTTACCTTGTAATCTAGAAGGTTTAGCATCACATGGTGTTGATCTAAGGGAAGTTAACTTCTCTTTTCACTCCTTCTTTGGTTGAAAGTCTAATTAGTTAATTGATCTACGCTGACGGTCTTTTGGGGCCGAGTTCATAGAGGGATACCTAGTTTGACTGAACTCAGACGACCGAATCAATTCAAACCATCTGAATTTCATTTAAAGAGTGAATGTGAATCGAATTCGCAATTTTCGATTTATATTGTTCCAGGTGAAATTTCATCAAACGAGCGGAATGACCGTCCGGTGTTTGGTTCACTTCGATCTGTCCAGCAAACTCTACTGGCTGATGTGAGTGGTATTCATCTACGCATGTCAATCAATCAGTAGTATGTAATTTTATGCAATTATGCTTGGTTCCCTGATTACCACTGATGGTTCTGACCGATAGCTGCTACCTTGACCTGGTGGTCGGGCTTGCACATCGCGATGACCCAACAAGCTACACTGGCTGGAACCAATGTTCCCGCAGGTTCTACCATGCCAGGAAGGTTGTTAGGATAGCGATTAGACTAAAAGCAGTTACCGACATCGTGTAAGAATTCTTTTTTACACTATGCTGGGGGTCTGTGGGCGAAGTCGTACTGCTGGGGAACAGGGGTGTAACAGCAGTGAGGTGTTTCCCTCAGATGACCAGCATGCCAGCTATGCTGTCTCTCCACTCTGGAGAGAGGGGGTTAGAAAAGGTCGACCCCAAAACTTGTACATCCCGACTTACCCTACGGTGGTCAGTAACCAGCGGTAAGTTTACTAATACGAAACCAAACCAAGAAACCAGTTCATACAGGCCGTGTGTGACTGGCCTCAAGCAGCTGTCCCCTGGTCTCTGCGGTCACGCAACACTAACCCTCTCTCTATTTCAGGTACCCGAAGAATCAATCAACTTCTACGGTGCAGGCAACCGGGAAGTAACAACCACCCACACACTTCAAAGGCACACGAAGCCTTCCTGAGCATCATTCTCCTCTACCCACATCACCATCATCTTATTCCTTTACTACAGTTAGCACTGTTCTTCAGGTTAGTCACTTCACTCTGTGACCACAAATAACGATGAGACTCATAGAAACACCCCAGATAGCCTTTTAAAGCCACGTCGCCAACTTCATATGGGAGCACTTAACGTCGGAACCCTCTGCCAAATCGGACAACAGGCATCATACGCATCTCGAGCCATGGGTGTATGTTGTGTTTCGGAGACATGCATACAAGACCCGAGTGTGGTCATTCACTTAACCTCACCCGGTCAACAAGGTGGATGTGAAAAATTCACTTTAAGTGTGTCAGGAGACCCCTCAGCTAGCTCGCAAGGACTTGCAGGTGTAGGGATAGCACTGAGTGTTAGGGCGGAAAAGTCACTTCTTGACTGGATCCCAGTAGATAGTCGTATGTGTGCGGTCCGTCTGAATGGGTCCGTTAAAAGAAGGAAAGACAGACCATTGATGGTATCAAGCAGTTCACATATCGTGATCTGAATAATTTCTGTTTGGAAGGGAAACTGTAGTAAAATTTCACCTCATCGAACTGTGTTAATTGCAAACTAATTTTCACATTGAGAATTTCATTTATCAGCTCGTATTATTTTTGCACATAATTACTGTTTTATCTGATGTGTTATGAATTTCAAGTTAATTATCAGAAGTATTTGGTCTCAGTTCGGCGTGTCTTCTAATTATTAAATCTATAACAGCTGGTTGAAATCAACGCAGAAACAGCTACTACTGCTTAACTTTTAAGTAGTCACGTTTCGCAAACAGAAGGCAACAGAAGTGAGGCTAAAGAAATGAAATTAGTGCTTATGTGTCGTTGTAGAGTAATAGTTTTTCCATCTGTTACCTTGTGGTGGTGTGATAAAGACAGTGTGTTCCGGCGGAATATTATTCTCACATATTCCCACAGTTCATTACTGTGTTAGTAACATAATGCTATTTAATTCGAACATTCTATTTGATGTTAGAGACAGAGTACCTTTCCCACAGCTCAGTACTACATTAGAAACAGAATAATATATGTATTTCGAAATTCTATTTCACGTCGTTTAATGTAAACCAAAATCACACGCTCACTGATTGGTTAAGGAATATAAAACTGTATATATGTAAATAGAGGTTTGATCACTTGAAAATATACCTTTGACTTCCGTGTCTTACCTTCTGCTGTTACAACCCGAAGTGAACATGTCTTGGTCTAATTTTAAGCCCTATACACAAATTGGCGAAAACCGAATACTGATTCACTAAAGTTACGTTTTAACTATCCCTAAAATTGAAACTAAACGTTGATAATACTGCTTACATAGAAAGAAGTATAAAACTCAAATTACACTAAGCACGTTATTGTTCAATAAACTTCTTCCTAACAAATTTCCTTCTTTGTGCTATAATTGTGCAAAATTATAGATCAGGGGTGACATCAGCCTATCAAATCTTTGACAGTTAGTTTTAACCAGCCATGTAGGGAGGTGTAGACTACTTTGAGTTAATCCTCAGATACCATTGAAGCATCCACACTAGGAGGTGACATGTCAACAGAAGTCGAACACTTTAGTTCAATCAATCAATGGGAAAATTAAGATTGAATGGAAATAAATGTATAAAAATATTTGTCAGTTATGCATGTGTATGTGTATATGTGTGTATAGTAGCTTTCTTACATTCTTCTCTTCTACAGATTTCTCTTTTCTAATAAACAATCCGCTGAAGCCCTGGTTTATGCCGAGAAAGCCTACACCATTGCCAGTCAGATTTATCCATTAGATCATCCGAATTGTTTAAACTTACTAATTGACATTAGTGTTATTCAAACAGATTTAAATCAATTTAAAGAATCTCAATATACACTTGAACAAGTGATTAAAACAAGTCAAACAAAATATCAATGTTTACTTGATGAATGCAATAGTAATAAAGATGCTTATAATCTGTTCAAATCGGATTATTTAAAACAATATGAAGCACATCAAATGATATATACACTAATTCATTCCATATTACAGTTAGCTGTAGTTAATTTAATGTTGAATAAACAAGAGTTTGCTAAACAATTACTACTACAAGCCAATCGGATATTAGAACAAGTAAATCATCAATTGGGCTTGAAAATCTCTTCACATCGTAAACAAATTGATGATTTTCAAGCGGAATATCATTTATTAGCCTAGATCATGTTATTTTGTAATCTGCAATCCATAATGGAGTTATAATCTACCACAGTCCCCAAGTTTTATCCTTGTATCACACTGTCTACAAAGTGTTGGCATAAATCAGACTAAATATCCAATCTCTGATCTTATCATTTTGTTTGCAAATATTGCGCCAGTACGTTTTTTCAAAATGAATTACTACTACTACTACTACGTAACTCTGAAATCTCAGCGATTCGAAATGAGGATCTATTCGATGATGGTTAAATGGTAAGGTCAATGAGTCAAATTTCCGTGGACTCGAGAGATAATGCAAAAGGTTTAGTATCTTCTGCTTTTTACTAACCTCTAACTTCATACTCCTCGATCCATTTCTTCCCAAAATACTTAATTGTTCCCAATATTTAAAGATGTTGAGCAGTTGTCATAACACAGAGATTTTAATGGCTAGTACAGATCATCATGATGAAGAATAATTTAGTTTTGGAACAGTCCTGTGACTTCCATTTGACGATTTGAAATAATTTTGACATTTAAAAGAAAACAAAGTTTCTAGTAGTATTTTCCGTTTAGAAAATATTGTGATGTACATTTTGTAAAAATCAAAATAATAAAGTCAGAACCATATTTTGTTCTTTTTATAAATTTTTATTAAATAAGGGATTAAGAAGACAATTATCGCGAGACGATATCATTTCGTAGTTTCTCTACAATCGCTTCATAACTAGCATAATTCACAGTAGTAAAATAAAAGGTACGACAGTTGCTCAGCTATATAAAACAAAAGTGCATACTAATAACCAATCATATTTTAGTAGGTCAAGTGATCCATGGTAGGCAAAAGTTGAAGTTAATTGTTTTCTACACAACATAGTTTGGAATGCATATGGTTAATCCCCAAAGTGTTTCCATCACGTTTTTATAACCTTGAATTAGAGTTAGAGTTATGTGAAATAATTGAGAAGCAGTCATTAATTAATATTGATTTTGTCTCCTGATATTAATGAATGCTTTGCAATGGATGATGATGGATTTCTATTTAGATTAAGTACACTTTGGTTTCTTATACGACTAAATAACTACTTTGGAACATGTTCTTTCTGACGACATTGGAACATTCAATTGGCTCAAACTGTATATGCGTGAATACAACTGCAGGTGAACTTGTAGATACAGTGTGAAGTGGAGTCCACAGAATTTCGTCGTTTTATCGTAGGTGCAGGAATCGAAAATGTTCGAAATGTATAGAAAGGAGATGCAGCATAGCATGTACATTTGGTAGCTGAATGAAGCTGTGAATTTCGCGATTTGATCACCCTTGAATGATAGTTTAATAGAGATAGCCTTATTTGGTACGGAAGCCGTGTTTTCAGGGGTTATTAGCATGTACTTTTCTTTTATATGAATGAGTAATTGTCATACATTCTATTTTATTATTGTGAACCATGCTAACTGTAAAGCGATTGCAGAGAAACTGCAAAATGATATTTGTCTTCTTAGTATATAAGTTATTTGTACAATACTGGACAAGATAATCACGTCAGTGGTTGAGCAGTAAAATGCTCGCCAACTATGCACATGGTCCGTGGTCCAATTCCCGGTCGCCGCACACCTTCACCTTATTTAGCCGCTTGTAAGCCGGGTAAAGAGGGAAGGTTGAGGGTGGTGAGGCTAGCAATTCCAGTGCATAAATAACGCCATTGCTGCTAAAACGTCGTATTTTAAACCTGAAGCCCAATGTTCCACTTGGAACGCGTGGGAATGAAATAAGAAGTAACAATAGATAAGACAATCACATCACTTAGTGAGTTTGCGATGGCTGAAGAATGTACTACGCACACATACTACCGCTAACTTTGTCCAATGTACTCTGCTGATCAAAGTTAGAATAAATGGAAGTAGACGAAAAGTATATATAATGGTAAGGCATACCATTGATTTACGAAGTCAAGTGAGATAATGTAGGCTTTCACGCTATAGTCTGCATGAGAATGATGACTGAACTTCCAAGACCTAATGTGACATCGTTTACAGTTTAACACTAACACATGAATATCATGTATTCATTTTATTTGCTACTTCTGTTTCCTGTCTGTCTGTCTTCTCAAAGTCCTTGAGTTTTGGCTAAGTACTTGTTTCATTTTTTTCTTTTGTTATCTTTTACGTAACATGCTGTTGTGACGTGTGTTAATTTTGAGTAGTCTATAGCTCTGTTAGGCTTCATTTTTTAACAACGATTTGTCTACTCCTTTGCCGTCCTCTTCATTACTTAAAGTTGAAATCGATTTAGCTCAGAAATAGCCTTACACTGACCAGTTTACTGTGAGACAGTAATCCATACAGTTTCATATCCTTATTCCTCTTTATGAATTTAAACAAAGCAAGAGAAATGATTCATGCAGAACAGGATGTTACCACTATCTATTTCGTCGGCTTCTCATCATCTGAGTACAGCCGAAGTTAATGATTAAGTTTATGTGCAGGACAATTTTTAACATGCATGCAAATGTTACATGGTATCAGTTGACAGAAGACTCCAAATGTAATAAACAGTACTCAGAAAGCTCAAGTTTAAACAAAAACAAACGCTTGGATACAATGGCAAAATAGCCACGTATTTCTCCTAAAATTTGCCGAACCAATCGTTTTCAGACATCGGATACCTAATTTATGTATGTGTTCAGAAAGAAGCGGTTATCATTCTTGCCTTATCCTGGTAACTGGATGTCTTCATTCTTTTTTGTGTGTTGATAATCTGAAACAACTAGCTCTTGAGCGTAAGGGTGAAGTCAAAAGCAGATGTCTCCAAAATATAAGTGAATCGTAATCGGTGATAGCTGTCTGAGGAAAGTGTCGCAGTGTGTAATAAATATGACGGTATCACCAGCTGACTATGTGTCATGCTTTTCGCACTCTGCGGCCTTTTTCTTTCCTCACAAACACTTCGAGAAATCGTCGATTTTACAGTTTTCAGATTGTGTTAACTGGGAGAACAATAGTTTGTTTCTTGTGAACGTGTGTAATGAGTTACTAAGATGTAGTTAATTTGCTTTCACTTGTTCTTAAGTACTTTGTAAACTTGCAAACACTGCTGAGGGAAACAGAATTTAGAATAATATCGTTTTAGAACCATTGTAATTAAGCTTGGTTACGTAGGCGGAACATATTTTACATGTGCCAGGCTAAGAGCCACACTTATCATGTGGGGACTGGTAACGCTACACAGTTTACCAAGATGAAATAGGTGGAATGGGATTCGAACCCACACCCCATCGATTGAAAACCGAGTGCTTAAGCCAAATCAAAGCTAAATTTAAACACCTACATATTGCAGGCCAGGTATCACTGGACAACTGTTTCGTCCTCCTTTGGGACTCTTTGTCAATGTACACCGAAGGCACAGGCATGGATTGAACCCCAGACATTAAGCCACTCGGGCTGGAATCCAAAGACCCATGAATTCTAACCTTGCGAACTTGTGACATAGCGCTGCCCTCACTGATGCATTCGATGAGCATTTACTTGACCTTGACATGGTGGATCCCACTAGTCAAGAATTTTCATTGTGGCTTCAAGAAATCCACCCAGCAGCCATCAGTGAGTTGGAGATTTATTTTTAGGTTATAGAATTTGTGGGGAATCTTAAATATTTTCATTTTTTGGTCACGAACAAAGTTAGAATTCAGGGGTCATTAAATTCTAGCCTAATTGGCTGAGCATGGCTAGCGAGCTTCGTCTTGCAACCTGAAGCTCCCAGGTTCGAACCCCGGCAGGATCGTAGGTGTAACACTGTTGAAGTGTTCAAAAATAGGATTAAACAGCTGTCCATTTCTCTCTGGTCTCCAGTAATTCTATCGCTTACTGATGTTGGCTAGTGACGAAAATCTGGTGATTGCAATTAATTCAAAGTCCTCACAAATTCTACAATCTGAATATATACATATTGGTCGTAAAGTATGTGTCTTTTAGAAAATATTTGAACATTTGTAATAAATAAACAAGTATAAGACATCAGCTCGCAGGTCCATCTACTTGTCGTGTAAAGTCAGAATTCACATTTCACAACCAGTCAGATTATCGACTGACTTACTTGTCAATGTAGAACCTGGCAGCAGCATCAGCAGCTCAGTTTATCACATTTCGGAGAAGCATATATAACAGTATAGCAAAGAAATGTATGTCAGTCTTTGGCCTTTATGGGATTGTGGAAGAGTACATCGCAAAGATCAAGGCACTCTACTGCAACTCATGCAGCCATGTAAGAGCTCTGTATGCAGTTGTCATATGAAGTGATGTCGAGCAATGGTGTCCATCAGGGATACCCACTGTTCCCATCTCTGTTCACTGCACATATACCAATGGAGTTAACCCTCACTGACATCAGCGACTTAGAGATTAACTTGTTTCCAGGGATAAGTTTTTTCGACTTAGAATATGGAGATGATATTGCCCTTCGAGGTGAAAACACTGGTTAAATGCAGAGCCTTCAGAACACCTCGAACAGAAATCTTCGAGTGTTTGACGTGTGATTTGTTCCTGTCAAATGCAAGGACTGGAATACGCCGGTTTCTAGTCTAAAGGCAGGGGGTGATGTGGTAGAGCGTGTTGACAACTTCACTTATTTGGGAAGTTACATCAGCCCCAACGCAGTAAACGGTCGCTGACGAAATCGCAGCAACTATAAAAAAGTTTATGTAGCATTTCCCAGCATGCGTTATCTCTGGCGTAGACGTGATATCCGGCCGGCTGTCAACCGAAGGGCGTGTGTACTGCTCAGCAGTCCGCTGCATCCTCTTTTCTGAGTGTGAGATATGGCCATTGGAAGTGGAAGATATGGAAAGGCTGGCTAGCTATCTTTGATCATAAATGTCTGAGTTCTGTCTCCTGTTAGGTGGCATAATAGGGTGAGTAATATTGAGGTTATGCATCGAGTGTTAGGTGGGAAAGAAGAATCAGTCAACGAGGTTGTGAAGTTACATCGATTCAGATGGTTAGAACATGTACTATGCATGAGTAGC